TGATAATTAGAGATCAAGACTCAAAAAAATTTAACCATACAATACAACTATAGAAGTAAGATCAAGAAAGAAAGAAACAAACCGAGTTCAGAGCGTAACTTAATGAAACATTTTTGTGGAGATAAAAATGCTTTTTAAAAATCAAGCTCATAAATATAACCAATGCTTAAATAAAAATTATCAAGTGGTAGAAGACCTACAAACTCGTCTAGTTCGAAGGGAATCATACTATAAAAGTCGTGATCCAAGAATATATCGCCGCGCTTTTGTATGTCATGGCCGACGATAATCATCTCAGCTCCTTGAAAAAGGCTGATACAACCAACGAACTCGGCTCTCCCGTCTGTGCAAACTACATATTTGATGTCTTGTTCAGGGTTGACGATCCCGGCCATCTTTAGAGCGCTGGAGAGCAAGGATGAATCCCAAGCAGAACCAGGGTTGATAATCATGGGACCGATGGGGCCGTTAACAAGAACAATATTGCATTTACTCTGTACGCATCCATCGTCAGTCCTAGTTCGCCATCCTGGCCTAATAACTTGAACAGAATAAGGGCTACGGTCCATCGCGAGAGGAGAAGACGGAACCCGAAGCGTCGGGAAGATGCAAAGTAGTACCATAATTCAGCAAACCATTATATTTAGTAAATATAAATATTTTTTATTATTGGTTGGAATGAATAGAAACAATCTATTTCTTGACGGTTTTTTTGAAAGGCGCTACTTTAAATCTTTAGATATCGACTCCCCATGGCCCTTCGACCTGCTTCGCGTCTGCTTCAAAAATTTGCCTTACCAAAACATGTTCCCTTTATGTCGATGGCACACTTCACATTTTTTCCAGAAGATGCACCTTCTGAGCTCGGAAAGACAGAGAAAACTAACCTTTTTCAAGCAGTAAACAGTGCGATGAGTATAGCATTAACTAGGGACCCAACCACAAGTAAGTGCAAATCATTATCTGAATTCTAAGTCGTTTTCGGCGAGGATATTGCATTCGGCGGAGTTTTTCGTTGTACTGTTGGATTGAAAGATAAATTTGGTACGATTCCTGCTTAATTTGTTTAGATTATTTTGCCTAGGCCGCGATAGAGTTTTCAATACTCCCTTATCAGAACAGGGCATTGTTGGTTTTGCAATCGGTGCTGCTAGTGCGGGGGCGACAACCATAGCTGAAATTCAATTTGGAGACTATATTTACCCCGCATTTGATCAAATAGTTAATGAAGCAGCTAAATTCAGATACAGATCAGGAAATATTTTTGATTGTGGGCGCTTAACGATTAGGGCTCCCGTTGGTGCGGTTGGCCACGGCGCTCTTTACCACTCACAAAGTCCCGAAGGTTTCTTTGCTCATTGTCCTGGTCTCAAGGTAT